CCTGCAGGGCTGGGACCCACACGGCCCCCCGGACCCACCGCCCGGAGCCCCCGCGCTGCTCCCGACGCTGTAAACACGTCCTGGAGCCTCCCCTCCTCCCTCCTGGATTTTCCTCCTGGATTGGAAGGAGATTTGGCATCCACAATTCCCAGCTCGCAACTCACATTTCTTGCCCCAAATTTTACTGTGCAGTCCAGGGCCTGACAGGCAAAGCATTTCAGAGAGGAGGGCTGGCAAAAATAACCATAATAATCCTGACAGCTCTTGGCAGGGCAGGAGGATTACTGCTCTCTTTAGCAAAACAACAGAAAAAGGGGCTTGATGCCTGGAAGCGACATTTTACGGACTGTTATTCCTCAACCCACGGCAAGGCTGAATCCCGGCCGTGCCGAGGAGCCGCTCCGGCATCACAGCCGCGGGATTAGGGGTTTGCAAAGCTCCCGGGGCCCTGCGCGCGGGCGAAGCGCGCGGCGCGGGCACCTACTTTTGCACTTGCCCTGGTACATCACTTGCAGGTCGGGGTGGTCGCGGCAGCGCGCCGTGAGCAGCTCGCACTCGTCGCGGTAGGTGAAGCCGTCGGAGCCGCAGACCTGCAGCTTGCGGGGCAGGCGGGAGCAGTCGGGCGCGCAGGCGCACTGCGGGCGGCCCTGCTTCATGCGGCACTCCTTGTCGGGGCCGCACACCACCCCCTCGCAGCTCTCTGGGGACACAGGGCACCGGGGTGAGCGCGGCCGCCCGCGCCGGCCCCCGCCGCAGCATCTGGATCTGCTCAGCGCGGGAGCGGGTCGCTGGCTGGGACGCGGAGCCGTCATCCAACACTCGGCCCAGCCGGAGCACCGGCCTCGCCTCGGCTCCGCTAACACAGTTCTCCGTATTTATTTTTTGGAAGGAGACATTTCTTTTTCTTATGCAATGGAAAATCCATCTGGGAAAGGCCCCAGCTCCTCCCGCAGGAGCGGGGCCGCGCGGGGCGATGGGGAGGCCGCGCGTGCACAATACCCAGCCCTGTTTCGCTCCAGGCCTCTGTGACCGGAACGGGTCACGGCCGGAGGAGACAGAAAGCCGCATTGTCCCCCTCCGGCTGCTCCCATCCTGCTGCCACCCCAGAGGGGCACCAGACATCCCAAAGCCCCAGGGTGCCCCCCGTCCCTGCAGCTCTGCAGGGATCATGGAATGTGGGAGAGCGTCAGGGTGCTGGGAACCATGAGCCTGGGGGAACCATGGGCCTAGAGAAGAACGGGGACAGGATGGAGAGACGGCTCTGGATTAATGCCAGGCAGGAGGGATTTCCATGGGCTGGTACAAGGGGATCTGGAGAGCAGGAAGGGGAAAATTCCCCAGAGACAACAAGGGGGCAGGAGGGGAAATTCCCTGTCTGCTTGGCGCAGCTTTCCCAAGGGGAAAGTCCCTGGTGGGAGACAGACTCTTTCCTGCTCTCTTCCTGACTTCCATAGCCAGGACCTGCCCTGGTCCTCCCTGCAGAGGGGAGCAGGAGTAGCAGGGCCAGCTCCGGGTGAGGGCAGGATCAGAACGGGATGGAGGCAGCTGGATCCTGCTGAGTGGAGCCAAACGGACCCTTCTGCCGGACCCAGCGCCGAGCCCAGCTCTCCCTGCCGAGTCCCACTGCGGGGACGCCGTGTCCCGG